CCCCTCCTCCTCCTCCTCTTCATCCTCCTTCTCCCTACTCCCTCATCCATCCATCCAATGTTCTCCTTCGCTCCCTCTTTCCTTCGCACGGTTCGGCCGTCCCCCTCTTTGCTCCCGCGCTTCTTCGATCAGTTCTCAACTCGCCTGGACATCGTTTCTGGATGGGCTGGTGGGGATACGCGAAGCGTCTGGAATTCCTTTGTGTGTATGATGTTTTCTGGTCTACTCGTCCTCGTCGTCCTCCACCTCCTTCCTTCCTCCAAATTATGGTGGTGGTGATGGAAAACAGGCCCATCATACTCGTAAGCCCCCCTGGTGCCATATCGGGCCCTTGTCGCGCCCTCCGCTGCTTCGGCTCCCCATGGCGTTTGACTCCGCGTTAGCGGTGGGGTGGTTGTGCTGGCCTCCGTGAGGCGCTTCCCACGGAATAGCATTAAGTCGGGCACGTTCTTCTACAGGAGAAATGTTCAAACATATGGGACCAATCGTATTGGGGACCATTTGTTGTAGAATTTGTGTATTTTTGAATATTGTTTTGATATTTTATTTTTCGCCGTGGATCCGTCTGTAGGGGGACATGCCCGACTTAAGTAGAGCAGCGATAAGCAAAGGCGTGCAGCCACCGCGCGGCACCATGCGGGGGCGCATGCCGTGGCCGTGCGCTGGCGGAGGAATGTTTCGCAGCGCCCCGCCCCCGCAGGCTGCGGCTGGAGTTCAGCGCGCCCAGGGAGCAGCTGCTCCTGGCGCTGACCGCGCCGGCGGGCGAAGCAGGCGCCTCCCAGGGCACGGAGGAGGAAAAGGTACCGACACCGCTATCCTTGCCTCGTGTTCGCCTGTTTGGGGCCTCCTGGGAGGCCTTCGTCGCCACTAGGAGAGGTCCTGGGAGTAAAGGTACCCATGCGTTTTATACTCCCCCCAAGGGCGCTCATCACAGGAGCGGGAGGTCATGATACACGTTCGCAAAAGTCCTGATGTTCCACACGGGCTGCGTAAACGAGGGACGCCGTATCATGACATCATTCCCAGCTTTTCTCATGGCGACGACGTCAGCGGCGGCGACGCCGACAGCGAGGACCCGCCGTGCCCGTGCGGGCCCCTCCCGCCCACAGCGACGTCCGCGGCGGCGACTCCTCGGGATGCAGTCGACTCGTTTTTGTTCGGGCTGGGCGTTTTCGCAAAGATCTGGCCAGAACAATTGTGCAGGAAGATTGGGGGGGCAGGATTGTGGCCGTGTTTTTTTGTGTTGCTCCTCTTTTTTAAGTTATGTAATCGTTTCGTTCATTCCGCCGGCCCGTATTGTGCCCTCGCTGGCGTTTGGGCTTTTGGGGGCCTTTTGGGGTCCTCGTTGGGGGTTTCTTGGGGGCCTCTTGGGTTTCTGTTGGAGCATCTTTGGGGTTTCTTGGAGCTCCTTTGCGAGCATTTGGGAGCATCTTGGGGCTTCTGGGAACTACTTGGGAGCCGCTTGGGAGCTTCTTGGGGGCCTCGTGAGGGCCTTTGGGGGGCCTCCTGTGGCTTCAAAGTGGCCTCTTGGCGCGTCCTGGGGGTTTCTTAGGGCCGTGGGCTCGAAATGTTGTTTCATGTTCCCCCTCTGGGGCTTTTCTGAGAGCGTTCTTGGGGCCCTCTTGGGCCGTCTTGGAGGCCTATTGGGCCGTCTTGGAACCCTCTTGGGCCGTCTTGGGGCCCTGTCAGAGGCCTCTCGGGCCTCTTAGGGCGATCTTGGAGGCCTCTTGGGCCGTCTTGGGGCGTCGCGATGCCGAAAAGGTGGAGACGCCAAAATCTCCCCCAAACCATATGAAAAACAATGAATTGTGCTTCTTGGGGCCCTCTTGGGAGTGCTCTTGAAAGCCTCGTGGGGCGTCTGGGGGCTATCTCGAGGGCCCTTTGGGGACATCCTGGGGCTTCAATGAGGCCTCTTGGCGCCTCCTGGGGGCTTCTTAGGGCCAAGGGCTAGAAATGTTGTTTCGTGTTCCCCCTCTGGTGCTTCTCTTAGAGCGTTTTTGGGACCCTCTTGGGCCGTCTTGGAGGCCTCTTGGGCCGTCTTGGAACCCTCTTGGGCCGTCTTGGGGCCCTGTCGGAGGCCTCTCGGTCCTCTTAGGGCGACCTTTGGGGCCTCTTGGGCCGTCTTGGGGCGTCGCGATGCCGAAAAGGTGGAGACGCCAAAATCTCCCCCAAACCAAAGGAAAAGCAATGAATTGTGCTTCTTGGGGCCCTCTTGGGAGTGCTCTTGAAAGCCTCGTGGGGCGTCTGGGGGCTATCTCGAGGGCCTTTGGGGGGCCTCCTGGGGCTTCAAAGGGGCCTCTTGGCGCCTCCTGGGGGCTTCTTAGGGCCGAGGGCTCGAAATGTTGTTTCGCGTTCCCCCCCTGGGGCTTCTCTCAGAGCGTTCTTGGGGTCCTCTTGGGCCGTCTTCGAGGCCTTTTGGGCCGTCTTGGGAGTCTCTTGTGGCTCCTTGGCGGCGTCTTGGGGGCCCCCAGGGCCTCTTGGGGGGCTCTTGGAGGCCTCTTAGGGCGAGAGGGGGGGTAGTCGATTGCAGCTCCCCCCTCGGAGGCCACGATCCTCGTGATAGGTGTCGAAAAATGGCCCTCCCCTGGAGTGCTCTGGTGGCTCCTCCCGGGACCTTGCCGGGACACTTTTCGTCTGGGGAACCCCAGGGGCCGCCCCGCGCGCGCGAACTAGAAATATTGTGAACCAGTTACCCGAGATCTGAGCACGCCTCTGGCCCGTTGGGCCCTGCGAGTTAAAAAGGGAATACCAGAAAATGAAGAAGACAAAACAAACAAAAACAACAAAAAAACGATGCTTCAATGCATTCGCGCCGTCGGATCTCAGGGGACGCCGACGACGACGCAACGACGCAGAGACGCAAAGATGCAACGACGACGACGACTCGTCTTGCTGGTGCGGGTCCCTCCTCCCCGCGGCACCCAGGTCGCGACCCCCCGCCCGCCCGCCACCCTGTTCGGCCCGCCTGCGGCGCGGTGTCCCCGCAGTTGCTGCTGCTACGGGCTATCTGTACAGCCGAGTTGGAGTCGTATGTTTCGCGATCCATGCCCAAACAAGGGTACCCTTGTGTCCTGTGTTTCGCGATCCATGCCCTCTACGTTCCACTGGCAGTGTGCGCCCCACGGCTTCGACCCCGCAGATGTGGGGCGCCTTGTCGCGGAGTCGTAGATCTCGTCGTCTGCGCCCCTCGTCCCTCGCGGGCCCTCTTCTCGGCCCCTGCCCAGCGTCCTCTTCCCCCTGCGCACCACCCGTCTTGGCTCTGCACCGGCGTGAGCGTTTCCCCCGGGGGCCTTCGCTGCCCTCCCGCCCTGGTCCTGCCGCCCGTCTGCTTGCCGAGCCGCCTCCGCTGCGGCTGTGCTCGGCTTTCCCGGCTGCCTCGGCGTGCCGACGGCCCGGCGCGGCCCGTCGGCTGTTCGGACGCGCTGGTGTCCTTTCCGCTGTGCGCAGAGGTGTGTCGATCCACGCTGCTGGTGCTGCTCCTTCCCGTTCGTCTCCCCTCTCTGCCAGGCCCCTGCTCTCTCTATCCCAGGCACGATCGCCCAATCCCTGTCCCGATCGGGTACATGTTTTCCCCGCTGGCCGCTGTTTCAACCGGGTTCCATGGCACCCATCCCCGTCCAGAGGGGGTAGGTTGGCGGCGTAGAGGAACACTGGTCCATTGGGGATGGGGATAGGTATAACTCAGAGGTGTGAGGTGTCATGATCGTGATTCGTTCCACGTTCTCCCAGATGAACCAGATGTCCTGGTGTTCCGCACGGGCTCCACGAGCGAGGGAGCGTGTTCTGAGCCAATCGCATCATTGCATCAGTTTCGTCCTAGTACTGCTACCCAGCAGTCAAGGCATGCCCGGGGGGGTCGCACCGCCTCACTCGGAAGTGGACAACTCAACTGATGCTCCCAGTTCGCCGTCGTCGCCGTCAAGGCCGCCAGGCCGCAGCCAACAACCCAGACGAGGAACAGCTCGCCGCTTGTTCGCTCCTGCCAAGAGCATGCTTCTTCGTCTGTCGTGGTCGCATTGACGATGCCGATGCCCGTCCCCACCGTCCACCTCGGCCCTAAGAGAAAACAGGCTTCTGGTCACGACGCGCCGGGCGCCTCGGGGCTGCAGCCCGAGAAAGCTCGACCTGCGCCCCCGGGTGGGCGCCCGAGAGCTCCCTCGGGCGCATGGAAGCCAAAGGAATCGATACCGCTGCCGTTCCATCGTTTTCGCCCTTCTGAGCCTCCCGGGAAGCCCCCGTCGCCACGTCTGGGTTCGCCTCGACATTCTGGCCAGAGCGCACCCCTGGGAGAGGTCCGTGGAAGAGCGGTATTGGTTTCCTCTCTCCGTCTCTTATTTTTGTTAGCTCTTTGATATCCTAGGCCTCCCAGATGGGGTCGGGGTAGACGGGGTTCGAGGATCGTGCCGCATCGCCGATGCTTCGGCGGATGCGAATCAGTGTGGAGCCCGGTTTTCTCCACGCCGACGTCGCCGAAGCACCGCTGACGTCGCCGATGCATCGGTGACGCATCGACAATGCGGCGCAATCTGACGACGCCATCTACTCCGACCCAATCTGGGAGGCTACTAAATATCTAGGTCACCCGCAGGGCGCAAAGATGGTCGCGTTTCGCGCGTCGTGGTCTGGGCCGGAGCAGCTGCCCTTCTTCAAAGTGGCGGATCGATGACGTGAAGGGAATCGCGCATCGCGGGGCGCGATGCGCGAAGTTCGTTAACATCGAAGCCAATAGTCCCCTCCCCTTGAAAAACAAAAGTGGCAGACGCACAAACTTTCTGTGGTCCGCGTGGATGTCTGGTGTGAGTGCTGTGACCCCCCTAGTGGCGCCCCCAGCGCCGTTCCTGGCGAGCTCCGTGCGCCAGAGAGGGGGTCCAGCGCTGATCTATGTATGTATATATATACATGTATATATATGTATAAAACAAAAATCTGCGCGGACCACCTTGCATAAAATGCCCCCTCCCCCCCAACCACTGTTGTCTCCATGATTGCTGCCGTTGCACCGTCGCCATGGTGTCCCGCTGGTCCTAGGCGTCACCATGAAGCCCCCCCTTCTGCCGGGGGGACGCCATCGACGAGCAGGGTTGGCACAGCCTAGCGCTGTGTTTTTAGGTTACATTCCGCAGCCATGTTGGCGCAAGAAACTGATTGACACCAGTCAGGTTTTGTGATCTTGTAGTTTTTGTTGCAGCTTGCTCGCCTCAGCAATGGAGATCGAGCTCCTCCCTGGATCCGACGCCGCTGAAGCTGGAGCGCAGAAGTCAGCCAAGGACTCTGCAATGGAGGCAAGGGTCGGGATGCCGCAGCCAAGGGGGCTGCCACGGGGTAAGCTTCGCTTCCGAGCGTCGACCGTCTACCAAGAGGTGTTGGAAGACCACCTTCTTCCGGCGGGGCTTGAGATTCAGATGGACGTGGAAACTGGAAGGAACAAGGCACGGCTGTGCCCTGGACAGGTTGTGGATTACGTAGGCGCCACGGATAATTACCCAATGGTCGCTGCTGCGTTGCGCCAGGCTGCGACTGCGAACAAACCGGATTTAGTGAGAGCCCTTGTGGCAACATGTTTTTACGATTCTGCAGCGATGTCCTCGGCATTGCTTGAGGCGTCAGCCAAAGGCTATGCAGATGTTGTGGATGTTCTGTTGGTTGGTGGAATGGCGAAGGCTAACCCTGTGGCTATTGACGCCACTGAGGGCCATAGCGCACTACATCGCGCCATGACAAATGGTCACGAAGACATATGTAAAAAAATGATAGATGGCCTTCCATCTGCAGATCTGGCTCGCCCGAAGAACAAGCAGGGATTGGATCCATTCGAAGCGGCGCGTGAGGAGGACCTGGGAATGGTTGCAAAGCGTCTTGAGAAACATCTAGCCGAGCGGTTTAAGGACTGAAGTTTTCAAGACTGAAGGAGTGAACGCATTTGGTGCAAATATTCTGACGCATTAGGCGCATGCATCTCAGCTTTCTCCGCAGGCACCGCGTGATCACTACGCTGGAAATAATACGTCCGTGTAGATTCGAGAGAGAGGGAGAGAAAGAGAGAGAGAGAGAGACACAGCGACAGACAGAGAGTAACCTGAGCCCACGGTTCTCGGATACGACTTAGGGGGGCGATTGGGTTGCCTTTCCTGGGTTATGGGTGCTCGAACGCCAATGTAAAGAAGGACGCCGTTTCGTGGCTTAGTTTTTTTGTGGACAGCCAGCCAGCCGCAGGCTGTTTTGAAGACGGTACCGGGGTCGTCGGCTGTTCGCGGTGTTCCAAAGCCGATGTAAACGGCCCGTCGTTGACGGTTTTCTCTTGTTAATGCAACCAGCCCGCCGCGTGTGACGATTTTCCGAAATCCTGAATCAGAGGGGGTTTTTGTAATTCCTGTCCCCCCCCCAGCCTTCTAACTGACCCGCTCTCTGCATCTTTCACCTTACACTCATATTCGCTCGTACGCGCCTCTCACACTTATTCCCACTCTCATTGAAACTGTCTCGTACTTGGACTCACTTACACTGCAGCCCACTCTTACTCGTAGTTGCTCGTACCCATAATCACTGACACTAAGACTCACTCAAATAACCACTTAGAGTCAGATCCACCTACACGCAGCCCTACTCAACTTAACTCCGTCCACCACAATAAGTGTTCTGACTCATGATGTCCACTCATGGCCATCGCGATGTAGCCAGCATGGCACATGTAGCAGGCATTGCATCTGAGCCACCCAAGAGTGTGTCGGCCATGAGTGTATCACGGGTCCGTTCGCACCCACATTCTTGGGACTTCTCAGGCGGAATGTTTGGTTTGGCCAAGTAGACGAGGTCGCCTCAGAGCCCCATGATCACCGCGATGTACCAGGCATGGCATTTGAGCCCTCAACGGATGTGCCCACAAAGGGTGTTTCACAAGCCCGTTGGTATTCATTGTGCGGGTGCCTTACACGTGAATCGCATGTTGTGGCCCAGGAGGCGCGTGTCGCTTCAGATCCCCATGGCAACTGCGATGTCACAGGCACGGCGTGTGAGCCGTTCAAATGGTGTCGACAACCGGTGTTTTACGGGCCCGTTCGCATTCACGGACGGGTGTCTCAGGCGAAACGCGCGTATGTTAGTAGTCGGCGATTTTTCCCAGAGCCCAAGAACACCGCGGTGCAGCAAGCATTGCATTTGAGCCACTCAAGGGTGTTGTCGACCAGGGGTGTCTCATGGGCACGTTCACAATTTAACAGTGTGGACAGATCAGGCAGAGCACATGTTCGGCCTTGTTGGCAAGCTTCATATCAGATGCCCATGACCACTGCGATGTAGTAGGCATGGTATTTTGGCCTCCCACATGCGAGGCGCCATGGGGGCACGTGCCAAGTCGGGCCCAGATTCCACTGAACGTCGCAGAAAATAGAGATGGGCATCACGTGTCGCATCTCATCGCCCTAGGTGGATCTAAGAAGGCTTTCTGAGGGAGCCCGCCTTGCACGTGGAATCCCAGCAACGTCTTCGCAGGCAAGCGAGGCCAGACACACGTTGGTTCGACGATACACGCAAGTATTCCAAACAGTTCCTGGGCATTGCCGCCGATACAGATACCTGTATCGATTTGGCCAGACCACCAGCATGTACTGATCTTAAGCATTGTTTGAGCGTCAGGATTGCCTGCAAGCCTGTCTTCCTTGTCAGTCGGAGTCTAGTGCTTTCTTTTACGTGCGCTCCAGCCCCGCCCCGTGTACCCCCCTCTCGTGGACGCCCCAGCGGGCACCTTCACACCGATCCAATCATATTCAAGCGCACTTATACCCAGCGATTCCTACGTTCAGCCAAACTTGCTCAGTCTCACTCGCGTCCACTCTCATCCTCATCCAGACGCTCATTCGCGGACATCATGCATATTGAGCCACTCTCATCCCAACTCGATCAGACTCAGACGATGTTGCTTAGACGACCACCCTCCGGGTAACAAGGAGGTTGGGCGGCAGGGATTTGTCTCGCCATGTATCGTTCACCCGGGACACCCAACGAACGTCCTCGGGGCAACCAGCTAAACCAGGTGGTATTCATTTGCCTGGGCGCCCTTCCTGTTCTAAGAAAACAGACCAATAATATACAAGGCCGTAGGGCACCACGAGGCACTACGGGGCACCACGGAAAGTCGCGATCGATCCCAGTATCGATTTGCAGGTGTCTGTCGATCTCGCTATCTATCGACCTCACTGTCGACCTCACTTTTGATATCACTATCGATCTCACAATTTTTCTCACTGGTAATCTCACTCGATCTACCTCGCAGTCACTATCGATTTCACTTTCAGTTGATCGAACTCACCACTGACCTCGCTCTCCATCGAACTATCGATCTCACTAGCGATATCACGAGCGATCTCACTATCGATCTCCTCTACCTGTCGGTCTCACTATCTATCGATCTCGCACGTAGCCCTCACTATCGACCTTCCCTTTGAGTTGTCAATCGATCTCGCTATCGATCCCACTACCGACCTCAGTATTGATCTCACTCAGTCGATCCCACGATCGATCTAACGAGCGACCTCCACGGGACAGCACGGGACACCCGGGGACATCGCGCCACGGGGCGCCACGGGTCGCTTGCGGGACACCCCCCGGCCACCGCTAGCCAGCCGGGGGAAGGGGAGACATTGAGCTCTGGGCGGGATGACTCTTCTTTCAGGCGATCGCAAAACAATGGATTAGCGACGGGTCCCGCTTCCATGGGAAATCGCGGATTTCAGCCGCCGGACGAGGCGGCACTGGCCGCATTTTGGGAAGGGCACCTCCCCCGATCCATGGATTTTAGCGACCGCGCGCCAAATCCATGGATCGCGTTTGCGCGCCCCCGATTTTTGCCCGCCCACGCAGTTTCGCCTCGCCCGCACGCACGGCACAGAACCGACACCGAGTTCCCGGTGGAGGGCCCTCCGTTTCAGTGCGATCTCGCCCTGCAACCTCCAAATTTCAGACACCCTACGAACGCGAACTACATTTTATAGGGATTGCTGCGTCGAATCATTCAGAAGACGGGTTGGTCGCGGGTGGGTGTCCAGGTGGGTTGTCTTTGGGTCTTGGGGCGCGTCGTGGGGCGTCATTCGGCGGGCCGCGAGGACAACAAAATGAATGATGACGACAATCCGTACCACAAAGCCTCGTCTCAACCACGCACGCAGTGACGGTTTCAGACCTCGCAGGGGACGCGCCGGCAACGCTTGCTGGGAGTTGGACCCTACGAGAAGGTGGCGTCCTCCTGGTTGCATGGGCCGTGGAAAGCGGCACCGCGCGAGCGACTTGAACCCTTGATGGAACCGTTGTTGTCTCGGGCGTTGCCCAGTTTAAGACTGTTAGCCCTCCCTCGAGGAGCAGGACGGAAGGAGAAACGACACGATGGGAGGAGGAGGCGGGGGAGGAGGAGGAGGAAGTGGGGGGGGGCGTCGGCCGATCACGGATTGACCAGGCGTGCGGAGGTCTGCGAGGAAGAGGGGGGGAGGATGCGCAGGATGAGACGAGGAAGGGGACGGTGGTAATAGGAGCAGGAGGAAGGGAAGGAGGACGAGGAGGAGGAGGAGGAGAATGAGGACGAGGTGTTAATTCTTGGGCCTGTATGCCTGGCAAGAAATGCAGTGCAACAGTGCTGTGACATTCTGGCTTGTGGCATTGTGCAGTGCAACAGTTGCGTGTGACTTTCCGGGCGCCCGCCAACGTGTGGCTCAAGCGTTATTGTTTTTTAGTTTGAAAGGTCTTGCCAGATTTTCATGGTGCGGAGGCCGTGGTTCGCCCCACGGGTTCTAGAGCACACAGGGCGGCGGCGGCAGCTCCAGTTGCCCCCGCGAACACGGGATCCACCGACCACGGTTACGAGGTTACGTTGTATCGTTATGAAAAGTACGAGAAGCCTGGTACAACCTGAGCACGAACCGGGTCGCGGAGCTGTGCAATGCAGAGTGTGATGACGGGGCTTTCAGGTACGTGAACACGGCGCGCAATGCCAATCACGACGGCATGCATGTGTGTTTGGGTTGTTTGTTTTGTTTTGTGTCCTTCCGAGCGCAGTGCTAACATGCACGAGGACGGTTGGTACCGACGAAGTCATAAATTCTGCAATTGAGTTACACAAGGGGCGCCTTCCTGCATCCAGTTAGCAATCGCAACGTGTAGGCTAAGACTCAGTACAGTATCTCAAAGGGGTAGTTGAGGAATGAATTCCAACACCAGCAAACACCTCGGAGCATGTTACCAATATCGCTGAAGCAATGCAGTCCGCAGGAAACGCCAGGGATGGCGGTGGCGGAAACAAGCCCGCGAGTGAGCACAAGGCCGTTCAACAGTTCAATACGTTTCCATGTGACAAGACCGACTTCAGATAATGCAGCGACATGCCGTTGAATGCACTCGCCCCAGTGCAGCACGGTTACCAGAAAACTTTCAAGAATTTGATCGACGAACCCGAAAACAGGGAAGGGGCATTTCTTGATGACGAAGAGGATGGCCGAATCCAGACCAGGAACGAAAATCTCATGCTGAGCGGGTACAAAATGTGCTGCGGATTGCCGGATCCACAGAAGGAGCGGTCAAGATAACGTCGGACAAAATAGGCGAAACAAAGGATAATGAGCAGCAGGGGGGGACATGAGTTTGATGTGGGCGGCTATGCCATGTTTGACGAGGACCCTTCGGACATGTTACACACCAGCGGGAGACACAGCCTCGGGGGAAGCTCAAGGGGCTGCATTGGGGATATGATTTAATGGCGCATCTCAAATCGGAACGTGATACTTTGCGGTTGCGGTGGAGACACTTGAACACGTGCTGAACTCGGCCATGATCCCGGAAGCAACCGAAGAACATGAATGAGGTGGCGATGCAGCTTGACGAGTGGAGTGCGTGCGTAGACTCGATGGAGAAATCTGAAAGCTTTGATGACTCATTCTGGCGATTGGTTTGATGGCTGGTAGCAAGAGTTTTTGAAAACCCAAGAGTCTTCGAACATCCACGCATGCCACGAACACCGCGCTAAGTGAGAGGATGCGACGAGGAAGAGCAAGGCT